TTTTTTTTTTAATTTTTTTCCTTTAGCAGAACTTCGTTAACACATAATTATTAAATGGATTAATTTGAATGATGAAACCCAATATGAAAATAATAGTAAATATCTATATCTATATACATATCTTCGCTTTTACACACATTGAGAAATTCTGAATTTTTAACTAACTAAAAAATTGTAGTGCAAATACTATACATATGTATAGTACAAAGCATATGTGAAAAATGGAAAGCAAATTTAAACTAAAAACGAAATTAAAATTTACATATTTTACCTATAATGATATTGAAAAGCGCATTACCTCTTTCAATGCTGTTACCGTCCACAACTTTGAAAACATTAGAGAAAATTTAAAATTGTCATGTTAATAGATTAATGCAAGTAACACAAAACAGCGACTATAAAAGTTTTGTGGAAATAAGTTTTTAGTGTTTTTGAAATACATAAAAAAAAATGTATACACAAATTCATGCATTAAAAGTGTTTGGCTTAAGGATCAGAATTTGAAGGATTAAAAGCATTGCAATATAATATTCTAATTACTCACCTGGCGGATGCATGGCCTGCGCTGCGTCACCAAAACCAACGTGAAATTGACAATCTTCTTTCAGATTTGTAGCCACTTTGCGGAAAGTGTTATACTCTGGCTGATCACGGCGATCGAAATAGCCTATAATTATACGTTTCCTCGAATCAAGATTCTCTAAATCTTTCAATGATGAAAACTCTTTAATTGGATCCTCAAGTTGTTTTCGCACAAAATCTAAAAATGCCTCGGCCGAGCGTTGCCCTCGATATTCACGTTTACTCAACTGTCCATTGCGTATCACTTTGAGTGTAGGATATTTGGTTATATGGAAACGAGATGCAATTGCTGTTTCGCGATCACAATCGACTCTACCGAGCACTACTTTTCCAGGTTCGGGAAAAGCCTCTTTCACCTGTAAAAAGAAAGAATAAAGAAAGATAAAAGGTACAGTTTCGCTAAAGAAAACATTCATGCAGATAATGTGAGGATATACCTACCTTATCAGCAGCTTCATTGAAAATTGGCGCTAGTAAATTACTGAAGCGACACCATTCGGCGTAGAAATTAAGGAAAACCAATTCGTTAGACGCTGTAAAAAAGTAAAAGAAAATATAGTAAATGGGTCATTCCATGTAAAAGAGTCATAAACGACATAAATTTCAAAATGCCTTAATTATCCATATTTCAGTGGCAACAGCTAATTGACTGCATTTCATTAATCTGTCGAAGAAGCTTTAATGTTTTTGTCTATGGAAACTTTTACTTCACAAGTAATTACTTTACATTAGTACCAGGGACCTCTCCCACCAGTCGCAACATTAAACATTTTTTTTTAATATTTCTATGAAGATTATATCAGCCTAATTTTTAATGAAAACGAAAGCATATAGCATATATTTTACAGCATAAAAATGGTCTGTATTCAGAATTAAGTTTTTTGACTATATTTCATCTTTGAGTGCACAAAGGTAAAATAGAGTGATTTTCTAATTCCCACCAGTCACATTCATTCACATGATAGTTAGAAAGGAATTCGAAATCGTTTGGTATTTTTTTGAAAAAGAATCTTATATATTAGCTATCTGTTAGAAATTATGTTTCGCTGTGGTATAAGTTCTCAAGGCATGGTATAATTCTACCATGGTTATAATTTACAATTGTTCACACTCTGGAGTGAAATGTCCCAATCTGGATATCCGGTTAATATCCGTTCAATTTGTTGTCGGGATTTTCTAAACAGTACTTGAACGGTCCCGCTACCAGACCGATTTAGATTCATGTCTGGTCAGGGCTGTCAGATGCTGTTACAAATCACTTCATTAATATACAAACAATTCTTATTTTATTGCTAATTTTTTTATTCGAATATCTGCACTATCCGGATAGGACTTCCAAGCCCTACCATATTCAATTGGCGTCTTTATTTACATTCAAATAAAAATACTTAAGTACGTATGGTATGAGCAGCATATCGTAACCTGAAATTCTAAAAGTCGTAGCTAATAAAAAATTAAAATTCAGTTCTTGATTAATTAATATGATGGATTTCATCGAAATAGAACTCCCAAATCACTTAATGAAAAAAATAAAAATTTTAAGTCTCGACTTTTTCCATTTCAGTTACGATGTTGTTACGTCTTTTTGCATTTCAGGTGCGATATGTACGTACATAAGTATGTATTTATTAAACGTCATTGAACTCATTTATGTAGGTTAAATTTAATATTTTAAATTAAAACCTTATATAAGGGTTATGATCTGTTTACGATATGAGGAAATACGCAGTTCTTAAAAAATTACTACTCTTTAACAATTGTTTAAACATATTTTAGTTTAAAACAATAAACAGCTGTTTTGATAAACAATTGTGAGGCTGCTATTCATGCATACATACAGTGGTGGTCAAGTAATTAGGTACACAACTTCCTAAGTTTTGACCATTCATTTTTTCTTTATTTATGCTTTTACAAAAATATAGTTTATAAAACAACGGAAACCATACAACTCAAAGTTTCAAGCCTTGTACAAGATATATAAAAATTCGCCAAATTTTCAAAAATGATCATCAAAATTATAAACTTTTTAATAGGCATTTAAAAGAAAACGGGGAATGCAGTTTTGTGTCCATATTGTGTAAGTTTCAAGCGAAATATGCGTAACACCGTAAGCAAAAAAATATGAAAAATCAATGAGAATTCTTTACCGCTCGACCACTCAGGTAATCCGCGTTTCGAGTCCTTATGGAAGAGAGGAACCAACGCTACTAGGACTTTTCTCTTACAGGGGCGGTTGCAGTTAATGCCTCGAGTTATCAGTGTAAAGTGCTGTGATTGTGCTGTAAACTTTGAGAAACCCAAGCTGGTGTTTCGTTGACGTCAAGTGATAAGTGTCTTCGCGACGGGGGAGAGAATTGTTGCCTACTGATAAGACTCCTTATTGTTGCCAGTCTTCTCCGGTTTCAGCAGTTGGACCAATCTCCCTGATCACACATCGATAATAATGAGAGTGACCATAGACAAGTTGTGGAACGCGGCGAGTTAATCTACCTACTTTCGCTGGACCGCATCATTTCAGCATCACGCTCATTATCAGGGGACCAATAGTTTGGAAGCTTTCGTCTTCGTGATGGCCACCTGCACCTCACCGCGGTTGAAAACAAGTGGCGAACTTGGTTTTGACCGGTTGCGCACCTTTTTCATCACTCGATGCTTGGCTCTCTTCTCCGGAAGACGCAGTGTCCGATGAGGCACGATTACTGAATGATACTTCCACTTTGTCTGCACGCTTCGTCGGGCTTGGCAGTGACCTTACCACATCAGAGGCGAAGTTGCAGGTCTTTAGGTACTACTCCCACCTTTTCCGCTTATAAAAAAAACTGCGCCTTCGCCGCAAATTCGAACTTGTTTCCGCAATGCATCCAGCAGCTGCAGTGACAATCTTGGAGATTCGGCGTTCGCTAGCAGGAACTCAGTGTTCGCCGAAACAACAACCCGGGCCCCCCGGATCAAAAAGTCAAAATATCCTTAAAAGGAAATCGGTGTCCAAGCATTTATGTGCCTGCAGTAAGTACTGTCGACACATCGATTTTTCGCCGAAAAGAGGCGAACGTTCAAACCTCAAATTAACCCCAAAATCGACGCATTCTGGGAACTGGTTTCCCTGAAAAACTTATCACCGGTACTTCATACATATGTTAAAAAAAAAAACTATCTGATTCATTTCTATTTAAATAGTGTTAGAAATTCAACAACGCGACACGTACAAAGTCATAGTTTCACTTGGTCTACTAACATCTGAATCGCCTAACTGTGCATTTTTGGCTAAGCGCTAGACTGCATTTGCCATTGACACGTCAAGAGGAATAAAAGCGGTAGTTTGAGAAGCGTAATCGAGCTTAATTGTTGCCGCTCCTCAACTCCGTTCAAAGAGCTGTGATAGGTTTGCCATGGATTTCGACTTACCTAGTGTCATGTCAACATTTTCACTGGTCATGTCGACAGCTCCAGAATCCGTAGGATTATAAAGGACGTAAATTACCTGAAAAGATTTAATATACCACCCTTTAATGTTATGAATGAAAACTTTCCAGAAAATTTCATGCATTGTGCTAAGTTCGCTTTGCAGTGGGTAACATATTTGTTGCAATTACTTACCATAAAAATTGCTAAGCAGCGACATTTTCGAGTGCTCCAAAACTGCATTTTTCTACACTTCTATATTGTAAATATAAATAAATGAAAAGATTTTCTAAAGAAATTGAGACGTTTGCGAAAAAATCAACGACACCACTCGCTTGCTTGCGTCTGTTCAGTCACCTTTTCTTCTTTCTTTTACTTTTCCTCCAAAATTTCACGTCGCTGGCAGACAATGTTGCCTACACTGTATTTTTCCCAATTTTTTATCCAACAAACTTTAGTATGAGAGACCGAATATTTTAAAATTAATATTCGTTGAATAAAATTACAGAAGTGCAAAGATTAAAATCAAAGACTTCCGCATCGTGTTTTTATAAAAGTTTATATAAAAAGGTTTTTAAAAAAATCCCCGAGGGAAACACAGATCAAAGAAACTGCAAACACTGTTTATGACGTATCCTACACAATGTTGCCAGCAACACCTTCTCCTATTGTGAATGACAGGTATAAAGGCAGAACACGTAGATTTATTACGTTATCTGGATATAATGGAATTGACTGCCTCTTTGGAAAATAATATAGGCTGCGTTTCTTTATACATTCCGGATAATCCCATTTCACAGCCGGAATAAACATAATGGTTTTGAAATATACGTCAACATATCATGAGGAACGTTCTAAAGAATAAATAAACAAAAAAGTTTATTCCAAACGTTCAGAATGAATAAAGGAATGCAGCCATAGTTTGGTGTGGCGTGATTGATTGGAGGGGCGGGGCGGAGTGGTGAGGCGTTGCCCTCCAAACCCCCCTAAACGAAAGAGGATGGACCGCGCTTTTGGAAAAGTCACTCCTACTCCTACAGAGCACTGGGTTGAATATTCAACGTGACAGCTTCAGAAAGTTATGTGAGGGTATAACATCGACTCCTGCAGCCGCTAGGCTGCACAAAGCCTTGGCAAGGGACCATACAGAAACAAGATTAGCATTCCGGCTAGCCAATGTCACCTACTCAGGCAACGAAGAGGAAAGGGCACTTGCCCTGTTTTCAGCCCATTTCCCGGATGCCACTCACTAGTCATCCCCAGTGGACTGGAATCTGGCTAGCAGTTTATTCACCACCCGATCAGTCTGCTGACCGTTGGACTCTTTCGATCAGTATAAATCCCCCGAAGTGAATGGCATCAGTCCAGTATTGCTGAAGCAAGGAGTTCCTACTTCCACACCTCGTCAGCATCATGCAGGCTAGCCTAGCGCTCGCTCACATGCCCGAGGTGTGGCAAAGGGCTCGGGTTATATTTATACCGAATATAGGGGGATTATTCTCTCGCTAAGACTTCAGGCCGGTAAGTCTAACATTTCTGCTTAAGGCAATGGAGAAGGTTATCGACCATGAAATCAGGAACAACACTCTTAAACAGGACCCGGACCACTTAACCAGTACACTCTGACCAACATGCCTACAGAGTAGGAGGTCTAAAGAAATCAGCTGACACGGAAAAATCTAAATTCCGCAGATTTCTGCGCTACGGGCTACAACTACAGAAAATTTCTGCGGTGTTGAGTTTTTATTTACATGGCGATCTGGTAAGACAGATCGTGTGAGCTGACTCGGATTTACGTACCGGTAGGTTTACGTTCTTGACTAATATCAACTTTACTGGCGAATTAAGATTTTCGCCGCGGTATTAATTAATGTCAAAATGATGTGTTTGTTGTTATATGTATTCGCCTTGTTTACAACAAACACATCATTTTGACATTAAGAAGTACCGCGGCGAAAATCTAAGTTCGCCATTAACACCACCTTGTATAAATTCGAATAGGTCTATCGCACATTCTCTCATTCTCTCGCTGTTCGCAGTATTTCTCCACTTGATGTTTCTTGCTGTCGAATATTCTACGTCTTTCATCGAATATTCTGCCATTTTCTTCTTGTTCGCTTTGCGTTGCCGCAGTATTCGCAACAATAGCATAGAGCGTAAATCTGAATTTACGTTTTTTGATATAAATCCAATTGTTAAGGTCCGGCATCACTTGCGCTCAGTGATCGGATTCCACCACATTGTGGAAGATCGGCCACTTTTTTGAGCATCTACTACATCTACCACACAAGGTATGAAATCTACCACATATTCGCGTTTTTTAGTAGTTTTATTTTTGCCCGATATAATTGAAAAAATTGTCCCACACTAAACACTAATAACAGGTATAATGGGAGGATAAAATAAACTGTAAAATAGTAAATTTTCTCAATATTCAATTTTTCTACAGGAAACGTGGTTTTATTGTGTTAAATTGCAAAATATATGATTTATAAAAAGAACTAATAGCGAAAATGTTAAAAGACGGCGTTTTTTGAGAAAGAATTAGCAAATTTTAGTGCATCTAAAGTTCTTAAAGCGTTGTTTACTTTCACTAGAGAGTTGTCAAAATCGGCAAACCGCAAGTAGCGGTTTCTGAAACGTGCCACATTTATTCGCTACATCGTGATGTGATAAAAAGAAAAGCTTACAGCACTCCGTAAGGTTGCATAAATCTATCAAAATATGTTCAAAAAATATCTTGATATGGAAAGAACTGCTTTACACTGTCAAGGAAAAAAATATCCTAAACTTAACGCAATTTTTAGCAACTTCAAACTTGCACTTTATTATACTAAAATTATTATTTTTTAGATTCTAATTAAAATGTTTGCTATTTAGGTGAAACCTTGCAGAATTTTTTTAATTTTTGTACAAAGTTTGATCCAAAACCTGAGTTCTACATTTTTTTTGAAATCTACCACATTTTTGCCCAGATTCTACACACAAATTTTGAAGTCCGATCACTGCTTGCGCTATGCATTCCTACTTCGACTTGAAGTTAGCTGCAATTTCAGGTTCTAATACGAAAAATGTAATCGGAGTTGCTGTGTTTCATCAGCGAAGTTTAATTTATTTTGATCCATTAATATTTGTTCTAATAAACGAAAAATATTGATTGTGGAATATTCTGAGCATCTAATCGAACTTGCGGTGTTTCAAATATAAGCGGGGATCACGAATTTGCGTCCTAAATTTTCCCCAGCAACAAAGAAAAAAAGTACGGAATATGCATAGAAACAAATGATCACAGTGCAAGTCGAATAAAAGTGCAAAGGGTAAACAGAAGAAAGAAAATGAGAAGCAATTAAGAATAAAGACGTGTGAAAAATAGCTGTGGAGAAAAAAAAATTAAAATAAATCAAAAATTTTTTTCCTTCCTAGTATTTGCATTCATTTGCACAGGTTCTTGTGAACGCATTCTATTTTACGCAGTTTATTAAAAGATTAAGAAACAAACTCAATACATTAATCAAGACAAGTATTTTTTTCAAATATCGGAGTGCAGTTGCATAAAAAACTGAAGCCGTAACGCTGACGTCAGTATAGTCGCCAGATAATATAAAAAACGCAGACCAGTCTTGTGCTAAAGATTTTTGAGAAGTTTATTTAGAAATAATCGTTAGGTGAGTGAATATTCCTTGATTACATTGCTTAAATTTTACTAATATAAGTATACCTCATATTTCGTTTGAATAATTAATATTCCAGCTTTAAATTGTCCTTGCAAGACTGCACTGGACTTTGGACTTGCAAAGCCGGCTTCGGTTTGCACTGTATCGTACCCTCATTGCCGTGGTTATTCCAATTAGAGTTGTAGTCCGAATGCATACGCAAATGCGAATATTTATATGTTTACATGAGTGTACATATGTATGGATGGAAATAAAAGCGTACGGACAAATAGATATGCCCATAGGGAAGGTGCACCATATGTGCAATTGCATATGTACAATTTTTGGAAAACTGCAATTTTACATAGACGCAATTCGCTTCTTCTAATTAATTTTAGATTAAAAGCCTTCTGACTGTTATAGTAGATAGTGCACTCAATATTTCTACGATTCTGAAAATACGGGTAGAAAAACATATGCATTATATAAATGCATACATACATACATGTGTAAATATGTATATACATATATGTGCCTACTTTAATAGATATATAGTATATACTACCCCCAAGTATGTAGATATTCCCAGCGATACTAAATGTCGTATTTTGCGTGCTTCTTGGTTTGACCATTTTTATGGTCACACAATTGCAAATTTGCAAAGTCATATCTTTGCGACCACACACTTTCGTTTTAGCTTCCATTATCTGTTGTTCTATAATTTGATAATTCTTTTCTTGACAGACTATGTTTATATGTACCAGTTGTACATAGTAAATATACTAGATCGGTTATATTTTTCGCTTTGTTGTAAAAAAAATGCAAAAACATAGAAAGAGGAAAGAAAAGTTTTACATACAAATGCATTGTACCTACATATATGATCACATATATACAGTGTTCCACAAAATAATAGTAGTGCTATATTTTGTTACGTTTTTCCTATTTGTATTTTGTTTATTTAAGGTTTATCATTTTTTTATAAATGTCAAGCTGGGTATACAACAAACGCCGAATGAATTCAGAGTTATATTTGTGCAGAAAAATTAGAAAAATTCTGCAAATTTTCACCAACATTTCAAACTCTTTTATCAGAATCTTGAGAAAAAAAATGGTATGCAGTTTTGGTGACCATTTAATTCTAGTGTAATGAAGTGCAAGTTTCAAGATGCTAAAAACTCCTGTTGATTTTTGGAAATTTGTTTGCTGGCAGTGTCCTCCATATTAAAGAAAATTGTCGAAAATACTTATGGAAAAAACGTCAAACACCTTCCGCTAAAAAAAATCTCAAAAATCAACGGAACTGAACGGATCAAAAAACCAGAAGCAAAAATAGCCAAAACTGGGCAAAATATCACACTCCTATTATTTCGTGGACAACTGTACATATGAATATATCTAATATATGTATATTGCGCTCTTGGCATTTATCTTATACAAAAATTCACATCTACCTTGTTTGTATCAGTTTTATTTTTGTCTGCCCTTCTATGCAAGTAAAATATGTGATCGCCCGCTTGTCTTTAGTACGAAGGAAAGAATGAAAACAAAGAATTCAAAAATTCGCATTCGAAGGAAAGTTAAAAAACTTATTAAACTGAAACATACCTACATATGTTTCATGTCATAAGTAGCTTTACAAATTACTCTTTAAGCTTATCGATATGAAAAAAATTAACGAAAGTAATTAAGTTCGGAATAAGCATGAGTGGAACCCACAAGGGCTCAAAAAAGATGTCATTCGATATACGATTGATAATTAATTTAAGGCATTGTTGAGTAACTTACCTGTTGCATTTAAAATGCTCCTTTGTTGCGGCATACAAAGAAAATACGTCTGATCGCGGAGGTTCTTTTAGAGTTCGTTGATTGTATTCAACGGAGTTATACTATCGGGGTCGAATTTATGCTGCTGAGTGTTCTTTGTATTACCCCTTATTATAGAATGATTAGTCATGTACAGTTGTGTTCAAAAATTATGAGTGCAATGGCTCAGAATGATAAATATATCTTTGACATGTTCTGCTTTACTATTTGAAGAGATATGTTCAGATGTTTTAAATTGGAGTATATGAAACAGGTAAGTAGAAACGAAATATGGGGAGTTCACCGTCCGTTCCAAATTGCGCCCCAAAATGTAGACGTCAACTCTCTGAGCGCAAAACTGTGGCAAAACTTTACTGGTGCTGCCAGACATTTCTTCTATTTGTCCATTTTTAATATATATCGCCTTTCGATTTTAGTTCTGAAAAATTTAAATGTTTAACTTAATTACCAATTGCTAATATTTGTTCTTTCTTGATTTGTGCCGGCCATTGCACTCAAATTAAATGCAAATACGCAAAACGTCCCCAATAAATTAAAAAAAAAAAAAATCTGATTGGTGTTGCCATAATTCGCAATGGCAAAATTTATACGTTTAAAGGCATTTCCCAAAAACGAGCTATTTAACAAAATTGTCACTTTCACTGAATCCATCGATTTCGAATGACTGCTCAACTCGAAAATATCGTTGCCACACCTCGAATGCTGCACTTTGATGATTCGAAATCAGCTGTCGCAAAGGAAACAATAGAGACATATATGTACATATGTACATCAGCGGTAATTTTTAGCGACTTGAAATTTGCAGACTAAAATTGAATGGGCTACAAAAAGGCATACCCAAAAGTTTTCTAAATATTAAATTTTTCCGAGGTTGATTAATTTTTTTTAACTTGCAAGCTTTGAAACGGTTATTTGCATGGTTTCTGTTATAGATTGAATTATATTTTAGATGAAAATTATTAAAACTAAATAAATAAACGTAAGCTGCAAACAGTAACTTTTTGAATTTCGGTGCTAATTAGTTGAATGCAGGTGTAGGTATCAAAGTCATTTTGCTCGCGCATCCCCATCAGTCGCAATGGCCGAGTGAGTACAGCCGAGTTCGAGTCCGAGTCCTCGGACAGCGTTACTTTTTTCTAATTTTTTTCTTCTAATTCTTTTCAACCATTTTTACACCATGCATATTTTCACTAGTCCTTAAAATCCACAAAAATGACTCACTTTTCAGCTTGGTCCAAACTCTTCGAAAATAGCACATTTCCTGAGGCTATTGTTGATTGAAGTTTACGGCAATGATTGAAAAAAACAGGTTAGAGTAGGTACACCTTTTCCCCCCAAACCTTTAGGGTGTGTACCCACACATTTTCTGAGGCTATTTTTAATTGAAGTTTACGGCAATGATTGAAAAAAACAGGTTAGAGTAGGTACACCTTTTCCCCCCAAACCTTTAGGGTGTGTACCCACACATTTTCTGAGGCTATTTTTAATTGAAGTTTACGGCAATGATTGAAAAAAACAGGTTAGAGTAGGTACACCTTTTGCCCCCAAACCTTTTAGGGTGTGTACCCAAAGGCGTTTGAGAATTTAATCACAAACTCAGAAAGTCAAAATTATATTTAACGAGTTGTCATGAAAAACACAAATACAAGTAAAAACAATTCAAGGCAAAAAATCAGTCGATGCATTGCTCATCATAGAAAGATAACAAATTTTTTGCCACTGAATTCCGTTCGTTAGCTTAGCGAATTTGCGACACCGCATTGTTTATATTAATTTTTTTATATGTACATATTTACTTTACACTCTTTTATTTACTTTGTAGTATTTATTTTACTTTTTCGTCTATTATACCGCACAATTATCAAATTCGTTTGCACCAAGCGCAATTATTTATTTTTCCACAGATTAACTAATGATTTAATGACCCAAAAAATTGTTGCAGTAAATTATTTATATTTTATATTTTTTTAATGGTATAAAGTTGATGATAAAATGTAAATGGATTCAAAGGACATTTTTTCACAAAAATGTAAACAAAAAATTTTCTGCCATACTACAAGATGTTGTATGAGTAATGTTTTGAAAACATCGAATTCCCCGTTATATTTCCAACCTACTTTTATATGGAAAAAAATCCGAGTTATTTCTTCTGTCACGGGTGGGACAAAAAAAAGAACCTGCTTTTTGGAACAGATATATTTTACGGAAGCTCTGTGAATTTATTTCACTTTTCTGTGTAAACTTGATGTCTTGAAATAAAAAAAACGCGAATACTAGCAAAGCAAAAACTTAAACAAAAACAAGTAAGAAAGTCTAAGTTCGGGCGGAGCCGAACATTAAATACCCGGCGCAAGTATTAAATATATGTTTTCCACCTTTCCGAAAGCTACCGCTACATGATAAGCCGGGGTGTATACATTTTAAGTAAATTAGCGTCCTTAAATTTCGAAATATTGAA